GTTTGATTCACGCTAGCCGACATTTTACTAATTCAATGAGCTCATAAGAGATCTCTTCACATCCTCTGACCAGCTCGGACTGAGGAGTCTAAGGACCTAAAGTGTCCTCAGGACCGAGGGGCCTAAGGTAATAACAGGAGCTTGGCTATCTATTTCTTTGTCCTGAGAAAAGCGCTGCCCTGATTCCACCCAGCTTCTTAGGGTGGTGGCCAAGAAGAAGCTGTCATGGATCAGTACCTGTAGGTTCTCCAAGCACTAGAGAAGACTCCCCTCAATGAGTAAGAAGCACCGCATTTCAGGACACTGTTCCTTCACATGGGAAGAGGAGGCCATACTCAATGAGTAAGAAGCACCGCATTTCAGGACGCTGTTCCTTCAGATGGGAAGAGGGGGCCATGGGTGGACAAAGGGAAGATCACCGTTTCTCCGGGCCACTTGCATCCCCCAGGCACACAGGCAGCCGATTTTCTGAGGGCTGTCTACGGAGCTAGAACAACTCTGCACTCCCCAGGAATTTATTCCCACCTGGGGGTATATGTGGGGGACCACAGCTAAGAGGGACAAAAGGGACTCCTCTCAAGTCCTACCTTTCAGAGGATTTTCATTTTGGAGCACCAGGGTGGCAGGCTGCCCAGAGGCTCTTTAGAGCCAAACCTTAGGGCCACCCAAGCCCTCTCACCCTTGTTCAGCTGCCTGGCGTGGCTGTTCTCAGGGTAGACTTCGGGCTTCCTGGGAGCGTTCCAAGCACTGGGCTGTGATATCAGAATAGGGCTATGACATCAATGTGGGGGCAGGGCAGGAGAGGAGAGTCCCTTGAGGGTGGCTGGATTAGCTCCCCAGAAGTGAAGTCCTGAGAGAGGGGTGCTGGCTCTGTGTCTGATTCTTACAGCCTCATAGAACCCCCCCACCCCAGGAGACGAGTTTGCAGATTTTTCTAGAAAGTGCTCACAAGTACTGAGAGGTGAGTAGCACACCAGCTAACCTGCTGGTGCTTCCTTCCAGTCATGTTAGAGCAAAGAAAGCGAACAAGCCATGTTCTGGCGCCCCCCTGTGTCAAGTGAAGGATACTCTCTATTTTCTGACTAGATTTGCCTTTGGATCAGGAAACGGAGCGGAGCCTTCGAGAAAGATGGGTACCGAGCTCCCGCAGCAGAGGGTTAAATGCAGGACGTCCAGTTACATTTGAATTTCAGATACATATTAAATAAGTGATGGCCCCATTTGGGAGATCCTTACACTAAAACATGGAGAATGGAAGAGAAGGGATTGAGGCATGGCCATTTTCCCCTGGGGGCTGATTTGTCTCTCTCCTCTCATGTAAGTGCACGCACTGTATGGCAAAAACTTAAAAAAATAAATAAATAAAATAAAAATTCACTTTGACAACTTTCAAGGAACGCAGGTTCTCAGGTCCCTCTGGCCTGCTAAAACCAAATGAGAGTGACTTGGGGGTTGGTTGTATTTATGTTTTTAAAGTTCCCTGGGTAAGGCTGTCAGATTCGGCAAATAAAAATACAGGTCACCCTGTTTAATTTGATCTTCAAATATTCAACAACACCCTCGGGAGGGCCTCGGTCCAGCCACCAGGTGGCAGCTGTGGACACCAGATAAAGCTTTCCAACCCAAACCCCACGCTTGGGAAACCACTGAGCGTGGCAAATCATCTAGTCCTGGGGTTGTCTGACTCACAGAATAACCAGGAAATACGCCCTTCTTCACGTGGCTTTTACTTCACTTTTCATTTTCTGAAAAATCTAGAATTGATTTGTTTTATTTATTTACTTATTTATTTTGATTTTGCTATAGGACATGTGGGTTCCCCAGAGAGAGAGAAAGAGTGAGAAATCGCCTCAGAGGAGACAGCCTTCTCCATTCTCCATTCTCTTCTTGGATTTTAGAATCCTGGGCAGCAACACATGCCTGGTAAGTTTGGTTTTGTTTTTTTGTTGAGAGACTTTTGCTACAGGTTGTGTGGCTTACCAGAGAGACAGACAGACACAGAAAGCAGAAAGCGATGGCCATGCTGAAATCCCTTCTTCTTGGGATTTTGGGCACATGGGCACACACACACACACACACACACACACAGCCTAAGTTTCAAGCTGCCAGGTCCAGAACTTGAACCAAGGACAACCACATGGGGGTCCAGTACCTTAACCACTACACCATCTGCTGACCCCATGCCTGGCATGTTGAAGCCACAGCATCTGGGACTTGAACTGCAGAATCGACCATGTGGGATCCAGCTGCCTTAACCACCATACTACCTGACTGGCCCTACTTTTCTTTCTTCTTTTAAGTTTACTTATTTTTTTCTTTCAATGAGAGAAGGAAACATACAGAGATAGAGATACGAGCACTCCAACAGAACCTTCACACTATAACCGTTTCCCAAGTACATCATCTCATGGGCACATGCACACCCGGCACGCAGACACGAACCCAAGATGTTCCCATATGATCTCAGCATTGTGGAGCATGTATTACCACTGTACCACTGCAGCTGGGCTGGATTGGTCTAACAAAGCAAGAGAAGGGGTTTGTGATTCTGAGAATAAGAAAAGACTGTCTTGAAAGGCTGGTTGGTCCCACTGTGAGACTTGGTCTCTCTGATGACATATGGCCCCACCCACCTCTGACCCAGCAAGGAGGTCCCCTGAGCTCCTGCTCTGGACATCACAAAGGCCACAGCCATCAGCCACCCATAGCTCTGCATACTCTCTGCCCCCTGCCTCCCTGGGCCTGGCATGCCTGGTGAGTAGAAAACATAACCACTTAGCGCCCATAGATATAGAGATGCTGTCCCCAGCAGCTGAGAAGGAGCCCATAGGAGGATACAAGTGGGCTGATCCAGCTTGGGGCTTGGCAGGTGGATGTGCTGACAGGTTAAGAGGCCAGGAAGGTATGAGTGCTGGCAAGACAGAGGCTGCATGGAGGCCCCATGGGTGGTACTGCCCAGCTGGAAGGGTGGTTAGATAGGAAAGGGACAGGGTCTTGAGTTTGCAGACAGACGTGGGGCAGATTAGCAGTGAGGGCAGGTACACCTCCCTGGATGTGGCCGTATACAGCTGTGTGTCAATGGAAGGCTTCAAGGTGGGGCAGGGGCAG